AGTGTAAAAAAAAAAAAAAAAATATATATATATATATATATATAAAAAGAGAGAGATAGTATTTCCGGACACATTTATTGAATTCTTTGAAAGCGAAAAATGACAAATTAGTAATAATTAATTCATTAATAATTAATTCATTTTTTCAGTTCTTAATATGAGGTAAAGATGCGCCATTATGCCAAAATATGATCTTTGAAGCATATTGTATGGAAATGTGCTAGTTTTAATTCATTGAAGAATTTGTTTTATTCAGCTGAAGCATTTAAATAAGTTTTAATAGTCTAAAATAGCAGTTTAATAGCAGTAAAAAAAAAAAAAAAGGTTTTAAACCTTTATTATTATTTATACTGTATATTTATTGTATTTTAAATTGACAATGAAATATAAAATAGCCACGGAAGCGAGCATGGTGTAAAATAACTTTTAAAAAAAACTAGCAAACAAACATTTCTTTCTATTTCAGAGGAGATGGACAACGGCGTGGACCAGTTGGATGGGCAGGAACGGACTCAATCTCCAGGCTGTGAACAGAGGGATGCTGGCAGAGAGGGGGAGAGAGACGACAAAGAGAGGGAGGAGAAAGACAGGGAGAGACTGAGAGTCAAACTGCCCCAGAGATCCGACATGATCTGCGGCTTTGCCACCCTCAAAGGTTTCAGTGTGTACACGTTGTTGTATCTTCATCTGATTTTATTACCATTCATCATGTCATATGTCACAGGCTGTGCCGATTGCTGATGTTTTGTGTTTCAGGCACTGCTGCAATGAGAAACACCAAGAAAGGGTCCTGGTTCATTCAGGAACTGAACACCACAATCAGACAGAGAGCCAACGACACACACCTGGCAGACATACTTGTGCAGGTAAAACATTTTAGTCCACATTTTGAATGCACTGATTTATGGCCATTGATGGTTTCCAAACAATGTTTCAAACATTTTGTGTTTTGTACCTGGCACTTTGATATTTAATTCAGTTGATAGCCATTCAAAATCGGACTGTTTTATAAATAACACCTTATTCACAACTTGTAACAGCGTAATCATGTAAAGCCTGACATATGAAATAACAGCCATGAAAATATGTTTTGACATTGATCAGTTTATTGAACATTTAGACAAAATCTAAAACAGTTTGCATATGTGTTTTTGTTAAGTATCGTATTTGATACTTGGGCTTTTGTGGCCCATATGGTATGTTATAAGAGAATATGAAGCTCAAACATATCAGTGTTCTTCAGAGGCCCTAAATGAGCAAAAATATGCAAATTGCAGTTGCTAATACTTATATTGACAACAAGACAAAATTCTGATATCTTGTAAATCAATGAGATCTTTATCAGTATAGCAGACAACTTGCATAAAATGTGTATAAATATCAGTTGTCACTCTATATCATCCAATAATATAGTAAGATACAATTTCAGTGATGTTTGAATAAATTTATATGATTTAAAAACTAGTTTTAATTGTGGGTGCAAAACATACACAATGGGGATTAAGAAATGTGCAGATAACATTCCTCAAAAGCTTAAAGTATCATCTTTGATACTCACATTTTGACATGACTTTTCGAAAAATGATGTATGTATGGATTATAAATGAAACCTAAGTTTCCACAACCTGATGGGGGATGAATTATACTAAAAGGCCTTTTACTTGCTAAAAAGTATAAATTATCAATCAGATGACAGAAGGCATGTAGTTGATTGTGTATAATGGTGTTTTCAGCAAAGTTTTGATCATGTTCATAATTTAGATGCCTAAAATATAATTTTTTTCAAATATATATATATAAAAAAGTTTGCATTATAAAATATGATAAAGTAGGCTTTATAGGGTTAAAATGTATTTTGCTCTCTCTCTGTTGTTCTCTATAGGTGAATGGTCAAATTAAAAGCAGAGAGGGATACGCACCTGGTTCAGCCCATCATCGCTGTAAAGAGATGTCAGAGTTCACCAGTTCCCTCTGTAAAGACCTCTACCTCTTCCCTAAGTACTACCCCAACAACTAGACACACACACACACACACACACTCCCCAGGCACGAAGCACACACAGAACACACTGCCCTCAGAACTGCAGTAGTGGGAGCTCAGCGCACGTGTGTGTGTACATCCATCACCTGCTGCAAGCTCAGCACACAACACACAGAGTCATGTAAATCTATTTACACCCAGTCCATGTGTCATCTGTTTCACATTCCTCAGCACAATGACAGGTTCATAGGATGCGTGTGTTATTTACAGTGGATTTGCCAAGATAGATCAGATTTTTTTAAACTTCTTGGGTGCACTTAGAAAATGCATTATCACAAACATTCTCCATTAAATCTTTTTTTTTGCCTTGCTCTTAACTTTTTTTTTTCAACCAATGAAATATGCTATGGAAAGTGTAAAGATGCCATTTGTGAGTATATGTGAAAAAAATCCATTTGTTTTCATGATTTATAGGGGGAAATTGGGGTTAAAAATAAGCTGGAAAATGAAATATATATATTTTTTATTCAGCAGCTGTATAAAATTTGCCACAGAATTACCCTTTTTTTAACTAAAACCAACATTTTATCAGTCTTTTGTTTTATCGGATTTATTTTTATATCTATTTGTTTTCACTCTTCTTTATATAGTTTTGTTTTCTCAGTAATTCATGTTCTGTATGCTTTGCAATTGTGGAGCCTTTTTATAGCCAACTTGTTGGTACATTCAGAGCAGCTTAATGATAAACCCCCCATCTGTCACACATACATGGTTGTATGCATAGACATGCATAGTAGCATTGTGCCAGTACCATACTAAACTCCTCCATACCATTTCACTTATTAGATTGGAGCAGAGCAGATCTGCTCTTACTTTATCTTTGGTTTCTGTTAATGTTTTTTTTTTAAGTACTGTGGCAAGACATCTGTTAATTTTCTTTAGTTATCCTGTATACACCATGGCAGCTTTTTTGAATTTTGATAGGGCTTCCTGACTCCGAGTTCAAAGTTAAACTATTTATTGATCCATTTTGGTTAGCGTATAATAGTTATTTTTAAAAACATTACTAAGATGCATATCAGTACACTTCTCCAGACATTTGAGTAATTCCAAAACTTCTGGATTCCAGTTGCGTTCCAAATGGTGTTTTCACTCGTTTATATATCCTTCTAACATGTTTTGTAATTATGCCTGTACATATGCATGTTTCTCTTACTCTTGCACATTTCTTTTCACTTCAAACATATATATATAAAAAAGTTTGCATTATAAAATATGATAAAGTAGGCTTTATAGGGTTAAAATGTATTTTGCTCTCTCTCTGTTGTTCTCTATAGGTGAATGGTCAAATTAAAAGCAGAGAGGGATACGCACCTGGTTCAGCCCATCATCGCTGTAAAGAGATGTCAGAGTTCACCAGTTCCCTCTGTAAAGACCTCTACCTCTTCCCTAAGTACAGTCCCAACAACTAGACACACACACACACACACACACTCCCCAGGCACGAAGCACACACAGAACACACTGCCCTCAGAACTGCAGTAGTGGGAGCTCAGCGCACGTGTGTGTGTACATCCATCACCTGCTGCAAGCTCAGCACACAACACACAGAGTCATGTAAATCTATTTACACCCAGTCCATGTGTCATCTGTTTCACATTCCTCAGCACAATGACAGGTTCATAGGATGCGTGTGTTATTTACAGTGGATTTGCCAAGATAGATCAGATTTTTTTAAACTTCTTGGGTGCACTTAGAAAATGCATTATCACAAACATTCTCCATTAAATCTTTTTTTTTGCCTTGCTCTTAACTTTTTTTTTTCCACCAATGAAATATGCTATGGAAAGTGTAAAGATGCCATTTGTGAGTATATGTGAAAAAAATCCATTTGTTTTCATGATTTATAGGGGGAAATTGGGGTTAAAAATAAGCTGGAAAATGAAATATATATATTTTTTATTCAGCAGCTGTATAAAATTTGCCACAGAATTACCCTTTTTTTAACTAAAACCAACATTTTATCAGTCTTTTGTTTTATCGGATTTATTTTTATATCTATTTGTTTTCACTCTTCTTTGTATAGTTTTGTTTTCTCAGTAATTCATGTTCTGTATGCTTTGCAATTGTGGAGCCTTTTTATAGCCAACTTGTTGGTACATTCAGAGCAGCTTAATGATAAACCCCCCATCTGTCACACATACATGGTTGTATGCATAGACATGCATAGTAGCATTGTGCCAGTACCATACTAAACTCCTCCATACCATTTCACTTATTAGATTGGAGCAGAGCAGATCTGCTCTTACTTTATCTTTGGTTTCTGTTAATGTTTTTTTTTTAAGTACTGTGGCAAGACATCTGTTAATTTTCTTTAGTTATCCTGTATACACCATGGCAGCTTTTTTGAATTTTGATAGGGCTTCCTGACTCCGAGTTCAAAGTTAAACTATTTATTGATCCATTTTGGTTAGCGTATAATAGTTATTTTTAAAAACATTACTAAGATGCATATCAGTACACTTCTCCAGACATTTGAGTAATTCCAAAACTTCTGGATTCCAGTTGCGTTCCAAATGGTGTTTTCACTCGTTTATATATCCTTCTAACATGTTTTGTAATTATGCCTGTACATATGCATGTTTCTCTTACTCTTGCACATTTCTTTTCACTTCAAACATTCTGTGTGCCAATGAATGCACATTATGGCGACTGAAAGTATTCTGTCTTAAAGAAAATCCTGCAGGTGGCGGTAGAGAGCTTTTGCACTTTATCAGCTCACCTTTTATCATTTAGAGCTTCCAGGGTTTAGACACACAGTAACACAGTTTCTGTTCTGCACACACAACATTATTCCTAGTGGGAATGTAGACTGTAAATTTGAGTGTGCTGTTTTCCATCTGTGTACGTGTCTTCCTGATCCAGTAGGCATGACCTTTAGGTTAATGGTCGCAACCTTTGACCTTTTGACACTGCCATGGCATCCCTCAAACTTTCTTCTACATTCCACACTCATCACCTTTACCATAGGTTATCACTCAACATGATTATTTTATTTTACTGCATTTTAGAAGCCAAAAGGTTTTCTGTAGATGTACACTGTTCATGCTGATATTGCTTTCAAGCAACTGTTGCTTTGTTGGGTTTTATTTTGATATTTTAACTAATAAGCTTCTTTGAACTGGCAGAATAATATGGGCATAGGTTCATTTTAAACACACATTAAAATCCTAAGTATAAAATGAGGGGCTGGTGCAAATAAATAATTTATAAAAGATTACTTTCATAATGGAAACAGTGCCATGATAATTTAGAAAAAAATATATTGAAATGTTTAAACAAATGACTGGTTATTTGATGAAATACTAAAAGTTATTTTCATTAGTCAAACGTTGTTTCAAAATGAAAAATAAACTTAAAGTAGGAAACAGACTAGGAAATGTGTCACAGTTTTACTGTACTGTGTTTTGTAAGTATTTCTTCAATGCTGCAGTCATTCCAGTGAGAGAATGCCAGCACAATGATGTTCTCCAGAGCCAGCCTAACATGAAAGGAAAGATGGGTTCATTTTAAACTACTCTAACTGTATTTATACATTTTAATCAATGTATTTCTCAGGCTGTGTTCACCTGGTTTTGAATGTGTGTTCAGAATTGTAATGGTGAAAGCATTTTGAACTGGCAGAATAATATGGGCATAGGTTCATTTTAAACACACATTAAAATCCTAAGTATAAAATGAGGGGCTGGTGCAAATAAATAATTTATAAAAGATTACTTTCATAATGGAAACAGTGCCATGATAATTTAGAAAAAAATATATTGAAATGTTTAAACAAATGACTGGTTATTTGATGAAATACTAAAAGTTATTTTCATTAGTCAAACGTTGTTTCAAAATGAAAAATAAACTTAAAGTAGGAAACAGACTAGGAAAATGTGTCACAGTTTTACTGTACTGTGTTTGTAAGTATTTCTTCAATGCTGCAGTCATTCCAGTGAGAGAATGCCAGCACAATGATGTTCTCCAGAACCAGCCTAACATGAAAGGAAAGATGGGTTCATTTTAAACTACTCCTCTAACTGTATTTATACATTTTAATCAATGTATTTCTCAGGCTGTGTTCACCTGGTTTTGAATGTGTGTTCAGAATTGTAATGGTGAAAGCATTGTGACACTGAGCGCTACAGGTTCTAGTTGTGGTAACAAATGTTTAAAAGTTCCCCTGTGAAGGTATTAAAACCCACAATGGACATAGATACATATAATATAATCCAGTTTAGTCCCTGCCAGTCTGACTGTGCCAGATGAGTGCCTAGCAAACTTGATATTAATTGGTTTATTCACTGCCTTTGTCATCTGTACAAACCAGCTCTAAAGGGTGCTTTAAGAAAACTATAGGGAAACTGTCATTTTTGTATTTTTGTAATGCAAAAGCTGCCATGTAATAAAGAAATACTGTTCCAAAGACCATCGACTTGTGCTGTGGATTTCTTTCTATAGTTGTTTGCTTGGATAAATGTATCGGTTGTTGTGTGTTTGAGTTGGAGTGTATTGTCTGGTTGGTTATAATAGAGTGCCATGTTGTTATGCTCTGTATTGAGTTGTTTAGTATTAGATGTCTCTCACTCCCTCTCCCTCTCTGTTTTTCAGAGTTGTCCTCGGCTTCCGTGGAGATGCATTTTTATCCGTGTGCTCGGGTTTCTCTGTCCTGCCGTGGCTGCAGGAACGGCCGTCATTGTACCGATCCCGTAACACTTACCCATCTGACCTGTTAGCGTGACTCCAGAACTGAAGCCTTTGCCGCAAGGCCCAGATGGTATGTATATAAATGCGTGGAGGATTACTTTAATCACTTTATTTATTTTTAAGCTTTTAGTCGTCCACCGAGACATTCTTCCAGGTATATCCTGGCCAATCGATTGGCAGGCCCAGTTGTGATATAAAAAGCGACAACCTACACAATGTATTTCAGATCCACTTGAAGTCACGAAGGATCGTGTATGAGGTTTTGCTGCACTTTAAGCTTGTCAGATCAGTGGATGCTTCACCCGGACGTCTCTCTAGGGTAATTCCTGTAAACATTTTGGACTCTAGAAGCTATGAGTTAGCGGAGAGTTTACATATTCATCAGCCCGTTAATCAGAGTAGAGGTTGAATCACAGCAAGAGCGAGTTGTATTTTAAGACTGTGCGGGGCATCTGAGTTTCCTCGCTGCGGCATTGACGCTGTTGTATTGGGTCATGTTGCCCCCCCTCTAGCTCCTTCCAAAACGCATACTCACTCATCATGTTACACGGGTGCCCCCGAGGGGGTGGTGTCCTGTCAAAAAACACCCGTGCTCGCCAGAAGGAACAAAAACAAGAAGAGGTGGAAGTAAA